TCCTGACCTTATTTTCCGCCTGATCTTCCATTTTGGTGGTGCACTGTTTGGCTTTTTTTCTTGCTTGTTGATTTTGTATCCAAGGTATTCAGTTATAGTTGCACCCGTGCTATACATTAGTTGGTTTGTTTCTTGCAGGTGCTGGTGCTTATATTTGATGTTACAGTATTGGCATCCTTTAATATTTGTGCTAGCTGTTTCTTTGTAACAAGCTTCAATACAGGCAACCTTATTCTGTTGTTTTTGTGCTGTTCTAGATGCTCAGTTATTCTTTGTTTCAATTCCTCTTGTTTTTTTGTCAGAGGACTTTGTTTTTTCTGAGGAGAAGGCTCCATTGTCTGAGCTACTTCTGGCAAGGCTTCGATTTCTTTGCCCTCAGTAGACCTTTGCAGTCCAATTCTACTTCTGTGAATACTTTATTTTGTGTTACAAATCAGCGTTGATCTGCTAGCCTCTGTTCTTACAGATTTCTTACAGATAAAGGGATTTTTTTTTGTTTTTGGCTGACAAAGAAGAATGTTGCTATTCAAAATATTTTTTAGACTTTTCTAAGATTTCTAAACATCAACCTCTCATAAAAAAGGTTGAAATGTCTTGTAACCACTGTGGTATACTAAGGATGTGCAACTGTCAGTGTAAATCTAATGCATTTCACTGCCTATTTTCTAGTATAAGGTCTCTGTGAAATCTGCTTTTCCTTTGCAACATTTTCTGAAATGATTGTAAGTCTCATTCAAGTGTTTTCAGTTTATGTTGGTCTCCAAATGTCACTCTGATGACATTGGCTCCCTTAACACACAACTGGCCACAGGGAGAAACCCTATGTGGATTTTGTAGGTCTACAGGCATTCCTTTTGCAGCTCATAAAAGCTGTTGGCAGGGAGGATGAAATACCCATTTTTTTAATGTTCCAAATATTGAACATATGACTCATACAGTGTTCCATGCAGTATTCAACATGATGCTGTATTATTTAGCAGTGCTTTTCTTTATTCACAAGTGAGTCCTATTCAGTAAATATTATATTTTTATTAATTAAAAGATTTGTGTTTGCAAGCCATCTCTATTTATTGCTTTGGAGTGATTCTCACAGGCGGAGTGGTGATGAGAGGAGCCTGGGAGTAAGCCTTAATAAACATGGCAAAGATTATTCTTGAGTAAACTAATACAGGATTGCAGTGTTAATTGCCCAGTTTGGGTTTCTGCTTCTTCTTTTCCCAGTGCAAGAATAATACCTGATATTAGGTCAGTTAAAAAGAATCATTCAAAGAGAAATTAAAAGGCCATTTATTTACATGTTCCAGCTTTAATAATCAGCAAGCAAAAAAGGGAGGGGGGAATTTGCAAAGCAGTTTAATGAAAGGCCCACAAGCTCTAAAAGTCTTCTTGGAACAGTCACATGGAAAACATAGAGCTACCACAATTTGATAATAATTTCATATGAATTATATGTAAGGGACTGAACAAAGATTCTTTCAAAGAAAAGGTCTGGTCTAGTAAGTGAAGATTTTCATAACTTTGCAACTGCCTATCTTTCTCTGACACATAACATACTTTATAATGAATGAGCTTGTAGTAGTTGATGTAAATTCTACTGCTGAGGAAATCATGCAAGCCAATTAACTAAAGTCAAAATGTATCTTTATTCTAAACAATGCACTTATCATTCAGAATGTTCAACCATTTAATATGCTAATTGCACTCTTTTATTTCAGCTACATAAAACAAATCCAAACAGATATCCTGGAGCTGCGCGTAAAGGAGGATGGGTAGTAGATAATTTTCCTCCATTTACAGACCACTGGAATGCTTTGGTAGAAAAAGGACTCCTACCTGATATTGTGATTTGTTTGAAGAATGTTGAATTAAATGGTTAGTAATAGTCAGAAATGAATATATAAAATGAATATCACTTAGGGAACAATCATCATCCCTAAAGTGGTAAGTTTTCAACATGTTCTTTCTATAAAATTCAGACTCTAGAAACGTGGATGCTGTTGTTGGATTCCAATTCCTGTGAGCCTCATCCAATATGGCCAATCAGAAATTAAGGGAGTTGAAGCCTGACCATGGCTAGAGATTCTATCCCAGCTTTAGGAATTTTTCAGTTTCAGCTTGCAACTAACCTAGAGAGGAACTATGTACACAGAGAATTAACCTATTTATCTTACCGTTACTGTATCCTATTATATTGCCGCTAGTTTAACTCCTTGATTAATGCATACATTCATTAAAGTGAGGCATAAAAAGGTATATATTATTTATTTCCCTCGGCGGCTCAACTAAATTTATTCAGCTATTGCAAAACAATTCATATCTTAAAAATTTTAAAGTGGTTGCCTAAAGAAAGCTGTCTGATGCAGTTAATTGTTATTATTGGGAGCGTTATGCAGTTAAGCATTATTATTGGGATCGACAACATCTCTTTTTTAAAAATTGTAGTTTCTGAGGTTTGGTACATAGCCCTTTTCTATTGTATTGTTTTCTATTATATTGCAGGACAGGTGATAATACATAGAATGTATCAAGCACAAAAAGAAGAAGTTGATGCTAAGATTATACAAAGATTAATAGAAGATGCTTTAAAAAAGAAAGAAGAGGAAGAAGAAACAAAGTAAGCATTTGGAGAGGGGGAGCAAGAGATTTAATTAAAACAGAATACAATGAAGATTGTTCTGGGTCAAAAAAAAAAGCACCTGGTGTTCTTTTGTGCCACAACTTACCTTTACAGAGAGTAAATGAATTGCTAAGTAGCCCAGTCTATATTTATCAATTTTTTATTTTTTACAAAAATGCGTATAACCTGTTAGACTGACTATGGGCAGAACAATATGGAACAGTGCTTTCTAGAATAATTCATATTCAGCAAAATTGCAGTTCATTTTCAATCATGTTATATTATCATTTGATTGTGCAAACTTCTAATTACAGAAGGGAACTGCAAGAACTGTTAAAAATGCAAGCTCAGGAATCTGCTGAAGACAGAGGTAAGAAATACCGTAGTGTATCTGGAATTCTTTCAGCAATGAAGTTAATTCTGTGCATATTAATCATATTGTTGAACTCACAGGCACTAGTAACAATGGAAGAATTTAAGTCTGAGGCATGCCCCTGCTACTCATAATGCCTACTCTACTCACACAGTATATGAATAGGACTTGCCAAAACATAAAAACTGAACTGGAAGGCAGCTTATGCCCATCATAAGGGCATTGGGGACACCTAAATGAAGCAAATAAATGGCTTGGGAAAGGGCCTTATATCAATTTCAGGAAATAAATTCCATGGATATGAGGCCATAACTAAACAGGCTCTATTTCTAATGTCTATTCCAAACAATTATTCCAAATTCTGAAAATGGATGACATCTCCTTGATATTTCATAATACTCAAGTAATCCTTTTAACTGTAAACTGTGGAATCTAGCACTCTGGCTTTATTTATAATTTTCATATTTTTGTCTGATTCCATTATATGCTTTCCTGAAGCTTAAATTGGGAGCTAATTTTGGGTCTGATGAATTTATAAACCATATTGTTTAGTATAGTAGAGTCCCACATAGAGTTCCAAAATTGCTTTGTAAATGTTTCCATAAATATGTTTTTCTTGAATTTACAGAATCTGTGGAGTTTCTGGAGGACAGCTTTGCATATGAATCGCAGGCAAAAATTCATTCTGGGACTGAAACAGGCCAAACAGTAAAATCTGATTCTGCTGGATCTAAACAGAAAGAAACATCTGGAGGTTAGATATCTGTGGCACATTGGTTATTTTGTTTCTTCTAACAAATATCAAGTTGTTTTATTACATTACTGTGGCTGTAACTCTGCTATGGAAAAGCTGAGGGCGGCAAAGTATTTATCTTACTATGTCTTTTTTTTTTTAATTTCTTTGACAATACTCTTGCTATAAATAGTATGATTCTTCTGTTCAGACATTCTTGAAGTCCTGCATGTGGAGACACCCCTGTTTCAATAGACACACTCTGCACTGACTAAACTAAGATGCCATTTGAACCACATTATCTATCTTAACATCTAAGACACTAATACCCAAGTTATTCCATACTGAGAGCCACATTTGGCCTGTAAACTCTACATCCCAAGGACATGACTTAAGTATATATTGGATAGAATGATGACAAAGACGCAATTTAAATTTCACAGAAATTAAATATTGCAAATATTATGAATATTGACATAGTTACTCTCCAATGATGTATTAATAATTTCCCTCTTTATTCACATTTCAAATTACAATTTAGTAACAATTTATGGAACCCCTGAGGATACTTCCAAGGCTTTTGAAGAGCTAAAACCAGCTCTGGGGATATGTTCCAAGGTCTAACAGCAGCCATCCTAAAAAATAAAATTTCTCATAGGGTTAATTTTCTCATTAAATAGTAAAAAGACAGAGTGTGAAGGTCAGTTTATCTCCTTCTGTAACCAACTATTGAAGTTCAAGTGGGATTTGCATCACAGCAATTACACATCACATGTAAAGTGCCTGCCTCTACATAATTAGCCTATCTCCCTTATTTGTATACTTTGCATTAACTTTTATTGGATAGAGTTATTCTAATAATCCTCAGTTCTCTATCACTTTACAGTTTCTTAGCATATTTTAGGTTAACCATGATTATATGGATTAGGGGAAATTGGTTTAATAGTAAATCTCTCTTTTTATGTATCTGCGTACAGAAACAGTGCAGTTTGTAGATCAGCATGATGAAGCACAGTTGTCTATGGACTCCAAAGAACATGAAGAATCTAAGACAGGTTAGATTTTATATATCAGTAATATTTCATAGGAGACAACTATTTTTGTTCCTGTAACCCTGTGTCACTCTGTTTGCATTTTAATTGTGTGTTTTCATTGTATTTTTAATGTAAGCCACTTTGAGTCTCTATGATTTGATGGCCTTGTAAATTTAACATCATCATTATCATCATCATCATCAATATTTTCTCTATTAAATATCATTCACATTTTATTCTTTATCACCATCTAATTGATATTTTTGTTAGTTCTTCTTTAAAGAAAAGCTTCTTTTTACTGGCTCAATTTGGTAAACTTTCAGAAGCAAAGCCTACAAAGTAAAAATCTGGACTCAAGATCAAAACTGCTAATTTTCTAAATATTTTGAAAGCTGTTAACATTTCCTATAAACTATGCAAAAGTAAGTAATAATGATTTTATGCTGATCCCCACAGAATCAATGGAAGCTCTTGAAACTGAAGAAAAATCTGAATCACAGCATGAATACCTGAAAAGTATTGCATCTGAACTAGGTTAGAGTTTGACTTGGTCACTTATCCCACCAAGCTGTGGTCTGCATAATTGTGCTTTGTTGAATAACCCACAATGAATGGCTTTGCATAATTAATCATTTCAACTCTTTTTCTTAAAATGTACAGTTGAAACAAACTTTTGTTGTGCGCACTGCCCCTGTTTAGTGTTGCAGTTATGTCCTCCCTAGAATACTCCATTCTTCCTCCACCCAATTTTTCACTTTTCTCTGAATAGTTTCATTAGCACATCTATTCCTCATTGGGCTATATGAGATTCCTTGTTAGGTATATCTCACCCACTCCCCCATGCCTCAAATTTTTGAACTTCTGCAGTCCTCCAAGCTCTCTTTAGCTTGTTGGTCCTCCTTCTTGTGAGGCTATTTTGGCTCCATAAGAACCAGCCAGAGTATCAAAAAGAAAGTAATGCCAGTACACATAAGAGGGCATCTTACAATTAATACATTATTAAGTTGTTTCCTAAAATGCAACTTGATTTGTTCAGGAGTCAAGATACCTGAGTATCCTGAAGATGGTTTTCCAGATGTAGTAGAAATAGAGCCACTTAGAAACAAGCTCAACCAGTTCCAGAATGACTGGCAAAAATTAGAGCCACATATTGCAGAATCGCCTTTGGTCCTGGTTACTGAATTGGAGATTGATGGGCAGACTCCAGAAATGCTGTTTAATAAGTGTGCGCAGGCTATGCAACGTAAGTAGTTCAAGTTCACAGTTCTTTAAAAATTATTTTTTCCTTAGGAGTTTTAGGGTGGTTTTTGGATGTTTTATTTACAATTTCTTCAAATTATAAATGAAGTTGGTTAAAGCAGGCTTGTACAAATTATGAGCTACTTCTGAAGAGACAAAGAACATCTTATGATTGCTGCCAGCGTGGAACTGTATGTACACATGTTTCTACTACTTGGAAAATAAGCAATAGCAACAACAGAAATCATTCTGAAATTAATATTAAAAATTCTATAAACCTTTAGTTGATTTAATAAAGAGGCTGTTTTAATATGAATATATTCTCCTGCATAGTCAACATGACCACTTTTACTCATGTTTAAAAAAGTATTCATGTATTAAACTAGAACATTTTGTAAACTTTAAAAAAAATTGGACTGGCTCCAGGAGAATAGAAGGAAATAGAAAACTGCTCCTGCCAGCTTATTCTGAAATTGAAGGAAATATTGTTCAAGCTGTGTGGATTCATCTAAGGATTAGTGAACAAAACAGGACTTACTGTTTCTTCTGGGAAATCAGAGGACTCTATTAATTATAGTCTATTTGAAGAGAATGAATGAAAAGAAGGGGATCTAGTTTTCAAATATGATGGCTTTTTCTGCTGCTTTGTCTGATTTGTACTGCCTATGAATATAATAGGCAGCTATATGGGCTCGCAGCTCCTGCTTGAAGAGCAGGTATCAGCTGTGGCCAGGAAGACCTTTGAGAACTCCATCTAGTGCACCAGCTGTACCCTTTCCTAGATCAGAAGGCCCTTCAGACAGTCACTCGTGCCTTAGTCAACTCGTGGCTTGACTACTGCAATGCTCTCTACATGGAGCTGCCCTTGAAGACCACCCAGAAGCTTCAACTGGTCCAGAATGCGGTGGCATTGCCGATATGCTTCTGAGTGCAATTCAAGATGCTGTTTGTTACCTAAAAAGCCCTACATGGCATAGGGCCTGGTTAATGAAGGGGCTGCCTATCTCACATAACATCTGTCTGGCCAATTCAATCCTGCAGGGTTGGTGCATTCTGGGTTCTTTCGATTAAACAGTGTTATCTCTGAGGACCCCAGAAGTGCACCTTTTTTATAGCAGGGCTTACCCTCTGGAATGAGCTTGCCCCCGAGATCTGGATGGCCCCCACTCTGCTGTTATTTAGAAGAGCTGTGGAGACTTGGCTCTTTACCCAGGCCTTGGTGAAGGAGAGTGAGACCCCTCGCTCATCACATTTGCCATAGTTTATTTTTTTTATCTTTATTTATGTATTATTGATATTATTGTAATTTCTTTGAATGTTGTGAGCCACACAGAGTCATTGAGAGTTGGGCAGCATACAAGTTTAATAAATTATTGTTGGTCACACAGTCAGCTAGAAGTTTAGACTGGATTTGGCATTTTTATTCAAAATTGAGTGCTTCCCAAAGACCTGGGATAGGCAGATGTTGTTTGATAGTGTTAAAGGTATTGTTGCAGGATGTTGTTATTGTGGTTGGCCGCACGGTCAGTCAGATGTTTAGACTGGATTTCACATTTTTATCCACCTATCGAGTCCTTCCCAAGGACCTGGGATAGGCAGGTGTTGTTGTTTGGTGGTGTTAAAGGTATTGTCACAGGATATAAGCTGTTCCAAGTAAAGCTGCCTTTTGAAATTGACTGTTATTGTTGTGTTGTTGTTGTTGCTGTTATATCTCTTTAAATGTCAGGGATCAGAGTTATTGATAGATCCATCCTCCCTGAATGTTTAAAGTTATCAGAGCTAGTAGTTATTGCAATATCTTACGGCAATGAATTACATATGTTCTTACATAAAGAAATTGATGTATATAGGAAATATGGGATGCTGCTGGGAGGGGCAGAGGGAATCAGTTCATTGCTACAGATATTGAATTAGGGGTGGTGATTTTTCAACAGGAGGTTCTGGTTCACATCTTTCATGATTTATCATGATGATAAATAGAAAATATCAGCACTCCTTTTATTCTGCATATAAAGGATTCATAATAAACTATGTGCCTGTATTAGATGAATTGTATCATGAACCTTCATTTCTTTCCCTGAATCTATGAATATATTTCTGTGAGCTCTTTATTTTAGATCTAAGGACTCATATGGTACAATGGCTGACGCCTAATGTACAAGCATAAGTGTCCATGAGACTGCAAGGGGTGGGGGTGACAACTGATGAAAGTCTGTCCCTTACATACTTGTAAAAGGGTGGAACTTATGACGTATTTTTTTATTGTAACATCACTGTGGTTAGGAACAGACAGCTATGTGCACAAGGATATTCCTTATGACTCACTGATTTCAGCATTCCTGAATTTATACATTTACCAGTCTGATTTGTTAGAACTCTAGCTTTTAGCATGCTCAACCAACTTTTCATAATGGTTAGGAATTTTGTGAATTAAGAGTCCTAATAAATTTGCGGAATACGAGGTTATAATGTGATCAATCTGTGGTTTGAAGAATTCCAATATCTCATAGAATTCTATACATATTCATGTTTTATGTCTGGTCCTGCATGTACAGCATTTAAAAAAAATAAAGCCTGAAAACTGATTATCTCTGGCAGAACCTTTTAAATATCATGGCTGGGAATTATGTCCTGAAGATGAAGATGAAGAACAAGAAGATTTGCAGGCTGAAGCAGAGGCACTGGCAGAAGAAGAAGAGGAGGGAGATGAAGAGGAAGAAGAAGAAGAGGAAGAAGTAAGCTCTAGTTCTCAACTCAATAGATTATCTGGAGCTGTAATTTACTGAATATAGGTGGTCTCAATGTTATGCAAGATACAACTTATATGACCAATTTAAAGGAGCTGCAATGCTTGCACACAAATGAAAGGCCAGCCAGCTTTTTGCACATATGCAAACATGGTGGCTGATGTTCATTCATGCACAGAAAGCCATCTGCCATGTTAGATGATATGCGAAAGACTACAGACTTTTGCAAAATTTTATTTGCGCAAGGGGTCCACAAATAGAATGATGATATATATCAGGGACTGTCTGTATTTTTTCTTGACACTTGAAATGAAGCAATCCTCTGCCTTCTGGGAGTGGGGGTCTGAGGTTGCTTGGGAGTTCATGGCTACCATGACAGCCAAGGGCCTATCCCATGTCATCCAGAGTCTGACACATTACAGTGGTCACACATCTGATCTGGTTTTCTTGTTGGAGCAATGGCAATGTGATCTGTAATTGGGGGAGCTCTCTGTGGCTCTCCTGTCATGGTCAGATCACTCCCTGATAACTATCAGATTCTCTGGGGCTGCCCCCCATCTCAGGGAGGAGGGACCTATTCAATCAGTTGGCCCCTAGTAACTGATGGAGCTGGGAGTTGTTCCTGATGGTCTCCTGCATGGTCTGACTGAGGTCTTGGTTGTGCCTGGAATGAAAGGGCAGCAGGGGCTTTGGATCAGATCACGCCTATACAGTCTCTCTCTCTTTCTGCAGACCCCATCACTCCCTGTGGTTTATGGAGGAGTTGAGGGAAATGAAACAGATTAAGAGACGCTGCTGAAGGTTGACAGAGTAAACTCGACCAAACATGGGTTAGAACTGCGATTAAGGCCTATCTTGTGGCAGGAAAGGCAGTAAAACATCAGTATTTCTCTGCCCTTATTGCATCCACACACAGCTGTCTGGCAACCTTGTTTGGAGAGACTCAAGCCCTCTTGGGTAGAGGGGACTTGGAGGTTCCCCTATATACTGTAGCTGCTTGGAAGAATAGCCAGAGCATCTGACAGAAAAAAATGCTCAGATTCACTTCCAATTGGATGCCAGTCTTAGTACAAGTCCTGTGGAGATGCCTGGGATGCAGTCTTCCCTGTTATCTGGGAGGAGTTTGAACTTGTTAGGGCTGGTGAAGTGGGCAGAGTCCTCATGACTGTGAGCTTGGGTACCTGTTCATTAGATCTGTGTCTCTCCTGATTGGGGAAGGCTTCCCAGGAGGTCATGTGTGGCTGGGTTTTGGTGGTGGTAAATTCTTCCTTGGGAGGGAGGGGCCCTTCACCTCTTAAGGAGCCGCTGGTTCACGTCCTCCTCAAAAAACTATCACTAGACCCAACCATACTGGACAATTTTCATCCAGTATCCAACCTTCACTTTTTAGGGAAGGTTGTTGAGAAGGTGATCACACAACAGCTTTAGAGGACCCTGGATAAAGCGGATTATCTGGACCCCTTTCAGTTGGGTTTCAGACCTGGACATGGGACTGAAACATCATTAGTTGTGGATGACTTCTGGCATGAGCTGGATAGGAGTAGTGCATCCATCCTTGTTCTTGACCTCTTGGTGGTCTTCAATACTATCGATCATGGTATCCTTCTAGACTGGCTCCAGGAGTTGGGGGTCGGCAACACTATTGTGTGGTTCTCTTCCTTCCTCCAGGGCCAATTCCAATGGATGTTGATCAGGAACAAGAGGTCCACGCTCAACCACTATTTTGTGGGGTCATGCAGGGTTTGGTACTCTCTCTGCTCCTGTTTAACATCTACATAAAGCCATTAGGGGAAGTCTTCCATTGCCATGGGGTGAGGCTGTTGATGTCCTGTCTCAGTATCTGGAGGCTGTGGGGATTTGGATGGGGAACAACAGGGTCCAGCCCAACCCTAGCAAGATTGAGTTTGCTAGGTTTGGGTTTGGGGGCTTTCAGGTTCCAGGAACGTACCATTGTTGGTACTGGCTGGGGTGGCACTCCCCAAACAGACCCTGTGCATGATTTGGGGGTCCTTCTGGACTCACAGATCCTGCTTATGGCAGTCATGGCCAGGAGGGCCTTTGCACAACTTTGGCTTGTACACCAGTTGTGCCCATTCTTGGATTGGCAGGCTTTACTTTCAGTCACTCATGCCCTGGTCACCTCCCAAATGGACTATTCTAAGGCACTCTACATGGGCTGCCCTTGAAGAGCATCCGGAAGTTACATTGCTCCTTGATCAGCACACGTTACACCTCTGCTGCGCAAGCTGCACCGGTTGCCAGTTTGCTTTCAGGCTCAATTCAAGGTGCTAGTAATGACCTTTAAAGACCTACATGGCATAGGGTCAGGTCATTTGAGGGACTGCCTCTACTCGGTTACATCTACCCATTCCATCAGGTCTGGCAGAGAAGGCATGCTGCATGTCCTATCTGTTAAGGAGTATCATCTGATGGGACTTAGGAAGAGAGCCTTTTCTACCACAGCACCTACTCTTTGGAATATCATCCCCACCCCACCCCGAGGTTAGATTGGCCCTGGCCCTGCTGGCCTTTCAGAAGGCTGTGAAGACATGATTTTGCCATCGTGCCTGGGGATCTGGTGGAAATATGAAGCCTGCAAGATGGTTGTATTGTTTGTGATATATGGATTGCACTTTTCTGTGGATTATGGTTTTTTAATGGTTTTTTTTGTTTAGATTATTTATTTGTAGTTGTTTATTGTTTTCTTGTTATTTAATTGTGTGAGCCACCCAGAGTCACCCATGTGAGATGGGTATACAAATTGAATAAATAAATAATAATCTTGTAATATAGGTAACATGTATTTAATAGACACAGCCTGAAGAAAGCAGTGCCTTGAACATGGGGGATATCTTAGTAAAATAGGAGGGGTATTACCATACAGGCCATACCCTTCCTATTTTACTTTACATAAAATATTGACCCATCCTCAAGGCTAACCTGATATCCTTAATACAGTAATGCAAAGATCAGCGAAAATGTTGATTAGTAGGGGCATCTCTTAACTAGAAAATATAATGCTAGCTTTGATAGTGTTTATAATATTTGGGAGAGATGGAGCAGGGAAGTGGTTTTCTAGTTAATTTGAAGTTCTTTCTCCCACTCCTTATCCCATACCTAGAGATAAACAGCACTATCAGATTGGTTACATCCTAAGCAATGGAGGTTTCCTTTTCTTTTCTTTTTTTGGTCAAAACTTTTATTAAGATATATAAAAAGTACAATTAAAATATAAATCAGAAAGTATAGAAGAGAAAGAAGATAGAACTAAAAGAAAAAGACAAAAACTAAAAGAGTGAGATCAAGTAGAAAGATGAAACAGAAAGTGACTATCTTTCTACTTCCGACTATCTCCAATACAGATATAAGTACAAATTTTAAAAAAAGTTAATCTCTTACCACTATTTAATCCTAATTCACATTACTCCTATCAACACAAACCATCTAATCATTAAATCTCACAATCAAAGCTTCATTTTTTTCCCAACCCAAGGACGTAATCTAGGGAGGGTTGCCATCAGGAGACAAATTTAGAAACGGTATTATCTCTTATTAAGGCTGTTAGCTTCACCATTTGAGCCAAGTCCATTAGTTTAATAATCCACTGTTCCACTGTAGGTATTTGTGAGTCTTTCCATCTTTGCACATATAACAGTCTTGCAGCTGTGATCATATATAGAAGCCAAGATCCATATTGTTTCTCCAATCCTTCTCTTATTAAGGCTGTTAGCTTCACCATTTGAGCCAAGTCCATTAGTTTAATAATCCACTGTTCCACTGTAGGTATTTGTGAGTCTTTCCATCTTTGCACATATAACAGTCTTGCAGCTGTGATCATATATAGAAGCCAAGATCCATATTGTTTCTCCAATCCTTTCTCCATCAAACCCAGTAGGAACAAAGCAATGAAGGTTTTCATAAAAAATTGTATTACATGTATTTCCAACCTTTCCTCCAAGAGATCCAGGCAGCTTATATGTGAATTTCCCTTCATTTTATTCCATAACAACCACCCTGTGAGATAGGGCTGAGAGAGGGAGTAACTGACCCAAAATCACCCAGTAAGTTTCCATGGCTGTCCGTGGAATTGAACCTGGGATTTCCCATTCCTGGTCCAACATCTCAACCAAGTATAGGAATGGACCTGCAGCTGCTTGCTACCCTCTGAATTACCTAGACCTGAGCCAATGTGTTAGAGTAAATATCTTTAAAAGCTGTTTGTCTAAGTAATCTTATCAGAAATATTTTGCTATTTTAAGGATGAAGAAAAAATTGCTGAGAGGAAGAGACATATGGGAGATACAAAGCATTTCTGTCCAGTTATTCTGAAGGAAAACTTTATCCTTTATCCAGGAGTTTATGAAAATGCAGCTAAATATCGAGAAAAATACTATTATTTTTCAACTCCAGAAAACAGAGAGAAATTTCTAGAAAATCCTGAAGAATACGTTTCTCACAATGAGCCATTAAAAGTATGCAGATCTTGCATATGTGAGCTATATAAGATTAATACTGATTGCGGTTCCAATATTTTCCAAATATATATCTCCATGTGTGCATCTTTGTGTGTCTGTTCATATGTATGATATTTTAACAGAATGGCAACGGCAGTGACAATACATAATGATATTCAGGTCTCCCCATGAAACTATACAATGTATTCCTCTACTATATCCCAAGCGGCAGATAGCAAAAGCTGGTTCAGCACAAGATTCTTCTGGACTGATTTGTTATTTGCAAAAGCAGTTTCCATTCAGAATGTCTGGGAATTATTACAATAACCTTTATTAATTGCTGCTGAATGTGCCTTAGTAAATGTGCCTTAGTAAATGACAATTGCTTTAGTGCATAGCAAAATCTTGCAGTGAACAAGGTATATCAGACCTAGTATCCTCTGACAACTATTGGGGCCTAGTCTTTCTTACAAAACATACTGAGACTTATGCTTCTTACCTCTTCCCCAGTAGCCCTACTGATAAATTGCAGTTGGGTCTGGAAGCTGAATATTATGTGGTGAGTTAGAGCTTATTCCTGACCAAGAGAAGGTCAAGAACTGAATACTGAAGTGCAGCAGTTAGAAGATATTGTTGGTTCTGATGACCAGAAGTTAAAATGTAGGTCCACGCATTAATATCATGCTTAGTTATATGGACGTTTCATACTATCTGCCTGCCAGAGGATCAGCTTTGTCTTCTTTGTTTGAAGATGGCTCTGAGGTTCACTATGCGATACCTCTGCCTCTGCATTAGCTTAAATGTATAAGAATTCAGTATATCAATAAAAGAGATGCTGAATTTCAATCCCAAGCAGTCCCTGCTAACATGATCAGTAATGCTAGGGATTGTGATCTCACAATATCTGATAAACAACAGGTTCCATCCTTGCTTTAAAATACAGGAGGCACGTTGCATAGGATCACATTTTAACTTTGTAAATTAGGAAAGTCTTTTTTGAGACTTACATGGATACATCCATGCAGTTTTCTTACAAAAGTAGTTTACCATTACCATCTTCTGGGATTTTTTTTTCAATTTCACAGTTTTGACTCCAGCTCTGGAAATTTTTGATGGTCTCTCATCTAATTACTGACTTCATCTGGCCCTGCTTAGCTTTTTGAGATCATCCAAAGTCAGCTAAGTATTTCCATATACGATAGTTGGGTTGCTTGCTTGCTTGCTTGTTTTTCAGTTACTAAGGCTATGCAGTTCTACAGGTTTGATTCCAAAAAGATATGTTGGAGTGTGCAGAAATATGAATGTAGCACCTATTCTGAGTAGAATAGATGTCATAAAACGTATTTTCTATATATAATTCCTTTTTGTGACTCATGTTGAAGTATTTACTGTCAGTCAATAATATCTTTGAAAATGTGGTTCTTCTATCTGAAGTTTCTCAGAAAGCTTTTTCTTAGAAATATTCATTTTATAATCTTAATGATCAAAACCTTCCCTTTTAAAAACCTATATAATTATAATCACATATTTCCTTTTTAGGCTCCTCCTATAAGGATATGTCTGTTGGGGCCACATGGAACGGGTAAAACAATCTGTGCCCGGTGGTTAGCAGATAAGCTAAATATTTTCCATATTCAGTTTGAAGAACGCTTACAAGAATTGCTCATGCTCAAAACAGGAAAAAGAGTTGGACCTGAGGAAGAGGAAGAGGAAGAGGAAGGTGAGGGGACACAGGAACTGGGAGAATCCACTATACCTGAAAATGCAGCTGAATTTGAATTTGAGAGTGAAGAGGAAAGTAAGCAAACTCAAGAGGTAATTGAACTACTGTATATCCGCCTTGTGAGCTCCTTCCCAAGTGGAAGATGAGTTTCCATCAGAGAAAGCTATGATGGGAGACTCCAGTCTTGTAAGTGGGAAAGGAGGCAAGCTGTAATTCTAATTCCTTCTTTTTGGTTGCTATCTAACCACCTACTGTGCCAGTTCAGTTACAGGAAAGACATCTCTCATTGTATAGGATATTCTTTGGAGTCACCATTTTTATCTCTCTATACATCAACAAGCTCCAAATTGTCAATTAAGTCAAAGAAAACCTTTGGTAGTTTGCTTTGGGTATTTTTAATATTTTTTTCAGAGTGGGAAAACCACCCCATTCCAATCTCCCAGAAGACACCAATTTTCATACGGAAAGTCCAAGCTTATCCATAAGTCCTTTATAAAATGCTGTTTTATCTTCATTTGGGGCATAAATTCCCAGTATCAAAGTCTTAGCCCCTTATAAACTAACTTCCACCCCAAAATATCTCCACAATCATTAGTCAGTATAAGTTTTGGATATAATTGTGATGGACTGGAATGGTGGGAGGGGAGTAAAGAATGTGCTCTCATCTCCAGAGGA